TATGTATTCTTAATTGTAAATTAATATAGCTAAATTACATACATCTCATTAGTTTCTGATACTGCTTATAAATTTAAAATAAAGCATTCATGTCATATAATATGACACTCTCAGTAAGTTGATGACTGCTGATAGCCCCCTGCTATTCATCTGATATGGGTTTGTTTATCAACTTTTAATTTCTCATTTTTAATTTCCTACTACAGACTCACTACGTAATATGAATTTTGTTTCACCACGATAGGGAAACTCTTGATTTCGAAGTAATGTTTTGTTAGTTAGAAATCTCAGTCCCTCAGATGAAGACTTTTTTAATTAGTGAATAAACATTTTCCTTTAAAATATTCAATTATTGTCCTCACAACCAACAAGCCTAACAAAACTTAAACAGTCATATAGTTTGTAGGAAAATTAAGAAAGATTGTCAACTTAAAATGTCTAACATTATCATTTATATGAAAATAAACCGTAGAAGCGGAATTTTCAAAATAAAAAATAAAAAATCTAAATTTTAAAGATGTTTATCACATAAATTTTAATTTTTAAATTTAAAAAATCTAACTTGTTTAATCAAAGTAGATTTATTGTTTAATTTAGTCTCACTCAAATATTTTGACCATCACTTTGTCTAAGCGCGTATTTTGTGTACGTATACACATACGTTGTACCAACGTAAACACAAATAAAGAATGGTTCGTGGTCTATTAATAAAGATTTTTAAGAAATATGCTTGTGAGCGCAAACGTGTTGACTGGTTGATAAGTACGGGTTTACTTGTGATGTTGTTTACTGTCAGGTGATTCGTAATCAATATATAATGGGTTTTCAGCAAACAATGTAAATTTTAGTTTATTAGTCGATAGAAACTTTGTACTCTTCTTTTCTAATCTAGACTTAAACGCAAACATTCTCATCAGGTGATTGTGAGAAATGCTATTGCGAAAGTGTTTTACCTCTAAATTAACTCCAATTTAATGTTGAGTGGAGTATGTTATACGTATAAGAAGAAGCTGTTAAATACCATTAGCATTAATTCCCGAATTTCAAAACCTTCCATCCTCAAATAACTAGCTAATGTTACCTTAGTACTAGGTGAACATGCAGAAATAAGTGTAAGTTAAAGGCAGAGTATCAACCATGTTAAAAGAAAACTGAATGATTAATTGTATAACTAGTAATAACTACACCGACAAATCATCTGTCGTCTTCAGATATCGGTCTTTCGTCTCAAAAATTAATGATAATAAACTATTTTTTAATAATAACGCGTACTGACTAAGTTCGAAATTAACGTCACTTTACGCTGTCATGCTAAATGATTTATATATGCTTTTTAAATTGTGGGAAACTGCAAATGAAAGTTAATCCAAGAAAACAGATGATAGTTATCGGATTTGTATTTTAATAAATCATCAAATCATTCGAAAATAATCATGAGTTCTTTATTTTGATAAAAAATTTGAAAATGAGAAACCCTAATTCTAAGATTGTAACGCGCTAATTCTCTTACCTACAAAATTCTTTCGATAAATTAGACTAATCTGTCAATTGAAAATTTTCTGGAAAAAAAATGGGTTGATTTTTTTCAAAACGAGATGTTGGTAAAACCCTAAATCCAGTATATATAGTTAGCATAACCAACCAACCTTCAAATAATTTTAAACATATTCTTGTCCATCTAGAAAAAAATTTAACTTTGAAATATAGACGAGATAAAATGATATTTTATGACATAAATAACTTCTCATATTCGAGGAAGATATAAACACCCGATTGTAGAAACAAGCGAAGTCTATTGTCTAACGAAGTAATTATTATTGAGACGCTGATCGATGTTATTATTGTTATGATTATCATTATTGTAGTTACGATAATCGGTTTCATCTAATGGTTTTGCGTTAATACATAACAACAATATTAACGTGAATAGTGGTGGTGGTGGTGATAGTGGTGGCTTTTGTGTGATTGTAGTTATGATTGTAGGAAGTTCATAGTTGTCATGTTGTTTGTTCTCTTCCGGTATGTTTAATTGGACCTTTGTGAATGTACAGTTTATTAAGACGAATATGTAATGAATGCAACGGATTTGTTAATGATTGATTAAAGAAATTGTAAGTCACGAAAGTAAGTGAATGTGTGTTGGGTTAGTGGACAATGTGTACTGTGTGATGGTTGGTGTAATCACATCATTTTTATTTTCATATTATGATAGAAACTTGTCTATGTATTCGGATTCCGAGAATACATTACAAATTGCAATTGAATACGTTTAATAATCATGACATTCCATTTCGGACCAAGCGGGTGTATTTGTTTAAGTGACCAATTTTCAATCACTAACATTTTCTTTTTGCTTATTGATGTATTTTTTTTCTACGTACGTGGTCCTTGAAAAGTTATGCTTGCTCTTCTGTAAACGTTGCTTGCAAATAATGAACAATATGAAACGTACCGCAGTTTGTTAAAATTTAAATGAACATATAATATGGCAGCCAAACGGATGTTTTAATATTATCTAAATAAGATAGGACTAATCATTCTACATTTTTGATAAGACTTTATCCTGTTGATCATCTTAACCAGTTTTCTTATGTTAACTGACTTTCAGTTTACTGGGTTAACACCACAAATAATTATATTCTTGAAGGTAGACCTTACTTTAGTTTTAACGAAATCATTAAGTTAAACTGGGTTATAAAAACCAATATACTTATTTGCATATCAGTTCACGCTATGAGATATCTATGTAAAATAACTATAAATCACTAGAACGTATTAATGCAAGCTCAGTATGATAATGGCCATAATCATTTACTTCCACAAAGAATCAATAATATACATTGGTCTCAGAATGACATAGTAAAAAAATCGTATTGTTATTATAGTGATTTACACAAATCTATTTCAATAAAGCCATTACAATATATCCTACCTTATATAAGTCAAACCGAAAAGAAAAAGAAAAATGAAAATATACAAAATTTTGAAAATGTAATTTGTTTATTAAGTCAGTCGACTCTAAATATAGGCACACTGTACTCCTAACTCACTTACTTAGAGGACCAGTAATTGATATTTTAATTCAGCTCTTATATCTGTAACTAAGTTGTCAAATAGTGTATTTTCTTGTGAAAAAGCAGCATGAACTGCTCGAAAATGATAAAATGCACATCATTATTTGTTGTTACACAGTAACCAATGAACTGTGTACATCAATTCATTTGGTTTCATGGTTTTACATTGATAAGTGGTGATTTCTAGCTGTATATATTGTGGGTTTTGTTGTACCAACTGAATTCCTTATGCTGAGTGAACTTTTGAGAAATCAAAAAATCCATGTTCTTTAGAAAATAAAATCAAGTCTGTTTACTGCTGTGTAGCATTGTATTCCTCATTATGTTAGTAAATTACTGCTTATTTTGTTCAAACATTAAATAGAATCCAGTTCCATCTTGTTTCGCAATGTCTAACTGTGGAATTCAAAAACCATATATCATCTAATTAGGTAATTCATTACACTGAGTCATTAAAGAGGAATAATATATATTTGTAAAATCTCAGGATATTTTCCTTGAAAAAGCTTGGACCAGATTGCCAGGCGAAACGTTGGATTTACTTAAAATTCATTCGCTGAGACTTTACAAATGTATATTATTTCTCTTTAATGACTCACATTAACTCGGCGCCCAAATATTGTGAAACTATTCGTTCAAATTTGGACGAAAGTTCTTATTTATTATTCTGCAATCGCATAAAATTCATTACACTGTTTTGAGATTTTAACCAGACGTCAACAAATGATTTTCAAAATTTCGGCGACTGGGACATAGGAGATAATCATTTGATTATAACTCACATTTTACGGTTTATTAAACTGAGTAATTCAACAGTAGTTGCACTAATTGTTACAACACAGCATTCGCAAATTACAAATAATTAGGGTGTTGAAACGATGACATTTCTGGAGTGTGATTTCATTAGATTCCCTATGAATGCTTGCATTATGAATAATAAGAGTATATTAATGCTCTTACACTGTTTAGGATCAGGGGTTGGGATTGTTAGTACTTTGATCACCAACTAATGGTGTATTGGTAAGCAAATGAGCAAATGCAGCTTTTGTGCTCACACTATCTTCACAGTCTTCTGTAGATAGAAAAGTAAGTTGATTACTCTAGGAAGATTTGCCATTGAACACATCCATGCATTCTCAAGTGTAAATAGTGTTAACATATCCACCAAACTTCAAATAGGTAGAAAAAAGTGAAATACTAGCATATTAAGGCACAATTCATTAATTCGTTATTTAAATCTTTCCTCTGTTCATCGTACTTGAATGATTCTCTAACGCCCATCAGTTGAGTGAATAAATCCCCTTAACAGTACTGTCAACGCATTTATCGCACTTATTCTGTTGCCGAAAAAATGACAAATTACTCTTCTCTTTTAATTAAATCATTCAATCTAACGAAAACGTTTTGTGAAATCTAACTGTTAAAGTCACTTTGAGAAAGAAATATCATTGGGACAAGCAGCTCGGAAGAAGCTCTTTGCAACACAATATTTTCAATTTACCGTTCATAGGATGTATATCATGAAGTAACAATTTGACCAAAGCTTATGTAAGTTTTGATAGCATAACCTTTCCCATCAACTCAGCCTTTAATATTGCTTAGCGTTATTAATTATGAATGTTAGACGATTGTTTGGTGTTTTTAAAAATAGTGTATTCAAGTCTTAAACACTCTAATTTATTTTTAAAAAGTGTATGGTTTAACTCCTGTTCTGTCTTTACGAAACATAATTTGTCTTTAGTCTACTTTCTACCCCGTCAGTAGTTCCACCCAGTCAAAAAGTTACTTAAAATTGTGTAGTTATTATTTGTTTGCTTATTTCTCTAATCATTTTGTATTGTTCACTTGTCTTTGTGTATTGTACCATCATTGTATATATAATTATTCCACTTTCTGTTTGTATTTTTTCTTCTCTCCATTTCAAAGTGCTGAAATGCGCTAACAATCTTGATAACTATTGTCTTGGTGGTAGAGCGACTACACAACCGTGTCTGGAAGAATGCTTGGGTGGATGCGAAACTCGTCCTGGCAATTGTAGAGTGAGTTATATAGTTTTCTTTCCTTTTAGCAAATAAAACAAAAGTTTTACATGTATTCTTACGTAATATGTTTATTTATTTGATATTATATTTACTGCTGTGATGAACGAGACTGAACGTAAATAATGGAATCTAATGTGATAAGGTGCTATTAGGGCACGGTCTTAAATCGTAATTTACTAGAACACTATCAGAATATATTAACGTGAGGACAGAAGCCCAAGAGTGGGCTGAAGGAAATGCTCCAATAATTTCGATGGTACCGTTAAGGTAAGTGATTTAATATGCTGGCGAACAGTTTAAATTGTTTTATTTGTGAAACTGCTCAATAAGATTCTGAAATAGGGTTTCAACCTTGTTACCTTTAATCGATTGATAATTCTGCAGATTGGTGACTAGTTATGTAAGTTTACTGATTTTTAGGTGCATCATGCGGATCTGTCTTCGCTCCTCATGTGAATTTACTGAAATCATAGCGTCAAAGTGTTCTCTTTTAAGGCAATCTTCTATCTCAATATTTCCTTGTACTTTACCGTTTAGAGTCTATAGAATAATGATGAAACCCCTGAGCAATGTAGAGTCAAAATGGTGTGTAACTGTTATACATAGGCTGGATGATCAATTATATGATTAATACAGTATCTCAAAAGATTGTTGTCTTAGATTCTGATGTGTGAAGACATGAATACGATATTCCACTGATATGAGGAATGCTGACAGTACCAGTTATATGAGAACATTTGGGGATAAACGTACATTTTTCTCTCCTTTCGTCTTTTATCTAAAAAGATATAGACGATGAAAAGTCTTCAAAAGTAATTTTATAAAGAATCAAGATTTAAATTTTACATTTTGACTCATTTGTCGATTCACTTGTACACAGGTCACCGTGATATACTAGTCTTCATCCATCCACGTTTCAAATCTTAGTTTAATGGTTAATTGGATGGAGATATGAATAAACAGGATGATAAAACAAAAGTTTTTATGTTTCATTCTATCTGTGGAATCACATATTAAACTCTAAACGTTTTAAAATATTCAGAAAATGAGCTGGTACTCTGAAATGCGATTTATCAAACCAGTGGTTTATATATTTCGTTTTTAACAAACCTATATTGCTAAGTAACTGTAACGGGTAGAATAGATAAATTATCTTTTAGCAATATGATCATAAGTATTTCAGGCATATCCAAGTGATTCGGGTCACACGCCTTGTGATGAAAGCATTTAATAAAACGAGGTATAATTCGTTTTCACGCATTGATTATGAAATTCGTAATTCACAACTTTGAGAAATTTCTCCCGCTAAAATAAAATGGTTATTCTCTCTCTCTCTCTCCCTAAATACAATTAATCTTGTGATATTATCAAGGTTAAATGATCAGTCAATTTCTCGCCATTTTCGTGATGAAACCATAAAGTATTCACGAATAAATAATTATCTTATCCTATGTATTGTAAATATTGTGTTCATTTTGAAGGATATAAGGAGAAAAATCGAGCTTTTACTAAACAAAAAAGTAGAAATCATGATTAAGTTTGATTTTCACCTAATTTATTTTAATATTTGTTTTGCTAATTTTCGGTTATCTTAGGCATGCAAACATGCGATGAATGATGGCAAATGTGTATCACAATGTCCTCCACCATTGATAGTTAGTCGAGAAGAGAGTAGAACTATTGCGAATCCAGAATTCAAATATAACTTTCATGACATTTGTGTTAAAAAATGTCCAGGTACGTTAAATCTATCAGTTTTGTGATGATATTAAATGATTAGTTATCAACAATCAACTAAACATTATTGTTTTTACTCTCATTTATCGATCGTGTCTACCTGTTGTTTTACCATGCTAAAAAATGTAATCGAAAATAAGTTAAGATTTGTGGAATGTTGTTTAACCAAATGTCCTCTTACCTCCTATATTTCGTGTATGAATTACTTTTGATTAAAAATCATTGCTTACCTGATATTTTATTACCGTCCAAAAGAAGTATCAGGTTTTTGGTTATTTCAATAATAGGATTTCACATGATGAAATATCAAATACTGTCAGCTTGCATTCATGTCATGCAGAATATAATAATTTACTTTTGATTAATACTACGGTTGTTTTTTAAATCTTTAGTCAAGTAGTCTCTTTAGAGTTTTATTACATCTGTTTGCTCATCTACATTGTTGTCGATAAGTACACTGATTAACGATTCTTAGCTCAAATAACAGTATTATGCTCAGTATTTACAGTCACTCTTTTATGTACAGGTATAAATCAGTTGTCTTTCTGAATATGTACATCTTGTACACGAAGTATTCAACTTCTAATGACTATTATTTGTTTAACTGCAGGCAGTTGGACTAAATAAAATAACAGACAATATTAAGGCATTTAAAACAATCAGTGTGATGGTTGCTTTTATATTGAGCACACCAGCATACGAAGTTGGAGGTATATTCGATAATTTACTTGACACTTGGCCAGGATCAATGACTGAACTACTACACACTAGCACATGTATCGCCAACTAGGATTCATCAACTATGCCTTGAGCTCTCTATTCCAACTGTTTCCAAGTTTTATTCACCCTTTTGATGTCCCTCTAATTTTCAGCACAATATGTTCTTCAGTCTGCTTCTTTTCCTTTTGTCTTGGAGATCCCAATATAGGGCTTACCTCGTGATGCAGTTTGATGATTTTCGCAATGTGCCATATCCACCACAAATGTCTTTTCTTAATTTCCTCATCAGCTTAAAGCTGATAATTTTTACAGATGAGACGCAGTAAATCAAAGTAGTGTAATGAGTGACAAAGAGATCGGTATATTCTCAGTATGGAAGGATTCCATGCGCTTTTCTTGTTTAGATCTTAGAATGTATGTTGAAAACAGCAACCTTCATTGATTTTTATTCAATAATTGTTTTTCTTATCACCAGTCTAATTAGTCCTTTACAGTTGAAACAAACGGTATTGTGAAATCAGTGTTGACCTTTAATAGATAATTTCAATGAAGGGTTTGGTAGACGTAGATGTAACTTTAACACTGGTTTTTTAGTGTTTTTAAACTAGATAATAAAATTATTTCTGAAATTCGCTAGCCAACCAAGTGAATATCTACATAAAAATATATTAAAATATGGACGTCTTGAGACTAAAATAATTTGTGTGTGCTTTATGACAGGAGAATACTGCTCAACAGATAATTTAATATTATACACTTCGGCTTTACTAGACTTTATTTTCTTCCATGGCTTGGCTTCCTTCTACAACATACTTGAAATATATATTCAAAATGCCACTATTCATCACAAGAAACTATTTTTCCTGGTGATAACAAGTAGTAATATATAAAAGCTTAACAAAAATCCGCTTCTCTAAATTCTCAATCTAACTACGTGGTATATAAGCTGGGCGCCCAATGTGAGGCCTGAAGGTCTCGAGTTTGGTTCTGTCAACCTATTTGGTGAAGATTTGATGTTTACATGCATTTTGTTTGTAAGATTAACAGTGAAAAGGATTATGTTGGAAGTAACTTTGAAAATTAACGAAATAATTAAAGTAGTTTCGCCTTTCAAAAGATTATTTTAAAGTAAATATTCTATGCTAAACGTTTACGCCCCATGAGAAACTTCGATGCACAAAAATGTAATTACCGCCTTCAATATTGATATCTTAACACAGTATAAGGAGATGCATGGCGATAAAAGGTGAATGTCCACCACACTGAATGAAAATCTTACACTTGAAAATTCGAGAATCACATGTTTATTCAGTGGTCTACCGCGACTTCATTCAACTTTCCAAATCGTGCGGCGTATAAAAAGCATAGGCTATCTGGCACGAAGTGATGTTTACGTAATCATTTTCCTTGGAAGAATAATACGACCAATTTTAAACTTGATGAATGAGACAAAATGTTATTTTGTGAAATAAATAACTTCTCATATTCGAGGAAGATATAAACACCCGATTGTAGAAACAAGCGAAGTCTATTGTCTAACGAAGTAATTATTATTGAGACGCTGATCGATGTTATTATTGTTATGATTATCATTATTGTAGTTACGATAATCGGTTTCATCTAATGGTTTTGCGTTAATACATAACAACAATATTAACGTGAATAGTGGTGGTGGTGGTGATAGTGGTGGCTTTTGTGTGATTGTAGTTATGATTGTAGGAAGTTCATAGTTGTCATGTTGTTTGTTCTCTTCCGGTATGTTTAATTGGACCTTTGTGAATGTACAGTTTATTAAGACGAATATGTAATGAATGCAACGGATTTGTTAATGATTGATTAAAGAAATTGTAAGTCACGAAAGTAAGTGAATGTGTGTTGGGTTAGTGGACAATGTGTACTGTGTGATGGTTGGTGTAATCACATCATTTTTATTTTCATATTATGATAAAAGCTTGTCTATGTATTCGGATTCCGAGAATATATTTTATCTTCGTGCTTACTGTGTTGTAAATATAAGTTCACTTTCGTAAAGTTTAAAGGAACAACTACCATATGAGTTGTTTTACTGATCTTTATTTCTGCACAATGATACTACATATAGAGAGATCATAAAATAAAATATCCATCATATATTATACTTAGGTAAAAATAAAAATACGTTTTCAACTTTACTTCAAACTTAGAGTAGTTATTAATATCTTAATTCACACTCAGTTTTGAAACTGTGCAGTCTTACACCTGAAGTCATTCGAGAATATTGTGAACCAGTGGCTTATAACTAAACATCACATTAAGGTGTTACATAGCCAAATAAGTGTTTGCCTTTTTTTATTCTAATTAGTGTGTACTGTTAATAACATAGAATCCAATTAGTACCCTGTGGAGCTGTAGACTAGTGATTAAAACACTCATCTTTCAACCACTACATTAAACATTTGAAAGCCGGTCCACAGATCTCAAGGATGGAATTATCTGTAACTGTTTGTCATGGGTATGTCTGGAGTAGCACATATCCACATGCTGTTTGGCAAAGGGTAATATTTCAAAGATTAAGGCTTGAAACGAAACGTTTAATAAACATGACATTCTATTATGAATCCATCGTTTGCTTTTTGGACGGAAAATTGCTAGAATTTACTATATGAAGATGGTGGAGAAGATTTGTAGCTCAGGTGGTTGATTTCGATGGAGTTTCGTTCTCTGAGCTGGTTGGTTTGGTCGTGGAGCTTCCATCGTTCTTCCGAACGACATGTTCAATGTACTTACAGGGTAACACAGCCTATTTCATTATAGAATTCATCATAGTTTTCTAGCTCGTACACAATTACTGTGGTTCATTTCAATTGTAAAAAGCCTCACTTTTTGTTTATAATAATTATAAATTACTGATTCATTTACTTATTCAACAAATATTCTCATGACTATGAAAATTACTCTTGATCTAACTTTTAATCTGAATATTTAATTTTATTAATTACATTTATACTACTTCTTGGTATTTCGTACATCTAATCGATTAGTTATTTTCTTAACCTCTTTTTATTAATGATCACTTCACACGTAAATTATGTGGAATAGTGAACCAATAGGAGTTTTAACTTGTTTTATCCTATTGTTTCATTCATGTTCACATGATTTGCATGTGTGTTGTGCATGGAAATTGATCTGTGTGAATATATACATATATATATAATAGGTCTGCACAAAATGCCACACATCACTGATTTTATAAGAGATTATCTTCTTTGTGTGTAGATCACTGATAAACTTTACATTTGTATTAGGTAATTTAGTGCACAAATATATAGAAAGAAAGAAATGCAAGTCAAAAGCCTACAAATTATTTAGGTTACATTTTACAAAGGTGAATATTCGAGTAGGTCAAATCCTATTGATATATATATCAGCTAGTTGAATTACTCTATAAAATTAACGATGTAATGTAAAATCTATTCCTGTTAAATGTTTTATTCGAATGAGGTTAACTTTTCCCTTTTTTTAGAATATAAAGAATAAAAGAATTACCAATATTGTTTTTAATGTTAAATTGTTGAAAAATAAATGCAAACCTATTTCTTAAATACACCTTATTTCAATGATTTCTGAACAGCTGCTTACAACCTGAACAAATAAATATTTGTTATAATAACAAAATGACATAATTAATACACAATATCCGAAAACATACAGTTGATGTTCTACAAGTAAATCATGCAGAATAGAGTATTATATGATACACTGCTCATAAAATACATTCAATTTTAAGATATCACTATAACAGACAGATAAGTTATTTTGGTTACATATGGAATGAACAGATCGATAAAAAAAAAGATTATCCAATCGTGTGAAAAAACTATCAGAATAAGATCGCTAGCCAACGCAGTAATAGCTAAAATAATACTTTTAACAGAAGGTAGACTAAAGACTAAAGTAAAATGTAAATAAACCATTAAAGTGTAAAATAGTTAAGGAGTTTGCTCTTGATGCATTCTGTCACAACAGAGAAATGCCTGACTTGTTAAAATATATGTTAAGTTTCTGTCATTTGGCATTGCATCCATATTCTTTTAAGGTTTTGTTTGATGACTGTTATAAAGACTCTTAGCTTGTTTATCAGGTGATGTGTCGAATAAGTAACGCTCATACCAATCGAAAAGCCTAAACCCCCAAGATGTACACTTTTGGATCTATCCTAGGAATTACAGTTGATATATACATATGTATTACGATGAAGCATACAGTTGCTTGTTTCGATGTATAAACTTTAATACAGGCAT